TGCGCGCCGCGCGGGCCGGCACCGGGGCGGCCGGGACGTGGGTCATGAGGTCCGGCGCTGCCCTGCCCTGCCCTGCCCTGCCACGCGCTGCCCGACCTCGGTTTCCGAAAGAATCCGGACACGCGGGGGTCCTCTCGTTCCCCAGGGGTCCGGGCGCCCATCCAGAGCGCAAACCCTTCTTAGTTCGAGCTCCCAAGACCCGGGGATCCCTAGGGCGGAGCGGGGGGGTCCGTCTTTGACCGCATGTGACATGTGGTCTGCGGGTTCACAACCCGGTTCAGAGCTCCCCCCAGCTCCCCCTACCCCAGCCAAGACCCCACCGGCTAAAGCCACGGGGCTGGGGATCAGGTCTGAAAGGGCACCGTGTGACCTCAGGTAGGGCATGTGGCTCCGTGGCCAGAGAGTACAAGTCACCCTCCTCAGCCGGCTGTTTCTCCAAAGTTCACGGGGGAGGTCAGTTTCCCAGCATGACACAGCACGGGCGTGGGTGGCCCGGGCTGCCTTCCTTGCCTTTCCCTCACAACCCGTCCGTTCCCCTTCCTAAGCCAGGTTGGCGGTTCTGTGCCTTGTTCAGAAGCGGTTTTGACTTCAAGGAAGGCTATGATTTGGGTCTCGGCTCTTTTCCACGCTCCGGCCGGTGCAAGCTTGCGGAGGTTGCGCGGGCTCACACAAACGGGGGTGCAGTGTGTGTGTGGGAGGCATCAGTACGGTATGTTGTGTCACAGCAACGTGGGGACCCTTTCCACAGCCAAAGGCAGGAGGGGCTGCCTCGCTTCAGCTAATAGGAAGTTGTTCACGACAGTGAGTCTCTGCCGTGGGACGCGGCAGGTGCAGCCAACCTCTAGTGCCACCCATCAGCTGCAGGTCCTCTAGGTGTTGAGAAAGCTGCACCTGTGTAAACACACACAACTTTGCCCCTAAGGAACAGACACCTCACTCACAGGAAACTTGGCCCCCTGGAGCAGGCTTGTCAGTCACTTTCAGGAAGCTGGCATGATGGGACAGGCTGCCCCTCAGACCCTCCACCCACACGCCAGCACCAGGCATCTATCTGTCCTTTGAGTCCTGAGATGTATTCCAGTCTCTTTGTCTCTGGCCGTTTTGATTGTCCTTACAGACTCCCCAAGGATTCTGTTGTTACGGTCCTTATGGGCAGGCCCGGCGCTTCTACTATTTTGTGGATTTCTGTGTCGCTTGCCTCTGGTGTGGTGGAAAGCGGCTAGTGATGTCTTCAGACCGTTGCTCTGTTACCAACTATTCACTTGGTTGCTGCTTCTGCTTCCTCGAGTCAGGACTCACAAAGCCTAACTCCTGCGGCCAAGCGGCCATCTCATCTCCACTGGGACAACGCAAACCGTGGTCCTAAACCATGATACCTGTTGTGGTACACAGACCGAGGTGCCCTGCAGACCACGAAGGATACCCATCCTGTGCTCTGTTTCCCTAGGGTCCCATGGGGGCTGCCACAGGCTCTAATGGACTCATGAGCAATTTACCCTCATATCCAGTGAATGAAACTTCCATAGGGTGATGGTAGAGATAAGTTTGAACTAAGACTCTTGGAGATGCACCCTGACTACCAAAAGTGATATCCAACTATGCATACTGGAAATGGAAGATCAGGAGCCCTTCTCTGGCCCTGAGGATGAGTGGGGTTGCTAGGGAGATGCCTTTGAAACAGAGCTCCTGGGTGCTTCACTGTACCACTTCGTGTTAATCATTACAGACTCGCTGATTGCAGGTGCTTCCAGCTACTGAGAACTCACCTGAAGACCATGCAAGCAGGGTGAGTCAGCCACTGCCATTATCTGCATCCCTGCATCTTTGTGGGATAATATCAATAATCACTCTGGCTTGTGTGGTGATATATTGTGGACCCTAATAAACTTTCCTGGGGATCAGAAGACAGAGCCAGCCATTAGATTAGACACAGAGGTCAGGCGGTGGTGGCACACACCTTTAATCCTATCACCCAGGAGGCAGAGATCACTCTGGGTCTCTGTGAGTTCAAGGCCACATTGGCCTACATG